ACCAACTTGATAGTACACACTGAAGCGAGATTATTTTTATGATTATGAGATTGTGATTTTTACTTGTGGATTTTTTGACATTTGAGACACTCATGGTTTTTGAGAAAATGTAACATGAGTTTTATTGTGTTTTAAAATGAAAATTTTGTTTGAAAATTTTACGGTGTTACATTGTGCGGCTGGAGAGTGAGGGAAAGAGTTTGAGATCGAGAAAGAATGAGAGAAAGAGGAGGCGGTTGTCATCACTGAAGCTACTGTTGGGCATTGGATTTCACCTTCGGAGGACGTCAGAGGACGGTGAGTAAGGAATAAGTGGTTTTTTCTTCTTTAAGCTATGAGTGTGTGAGTTGTAAGGAATTGGAAGGAGATGATGAGAGAAGCCGAGAGAGGTAATAGTTAGAGAAATAAAGGGAGAGAGATAGAGAGAGAGAGACAGAGTGAGAGTGAGCGTGAGAGAGAGAGAGAGAGAGAGAATCGGGATTCCTTTGGGAAGACTCCGTTGAAATCGATATTTTTGGTGCACTTCATTCAGTTAAGTGCAGAAGATGGGTAATCTTGGAGCTCCGATGGAATGCTACATGTTTAGGAAGATGGTTGTTGCAGCCGAAGGAAGAAAGCCCATCAATTTTGGGGTGTCGTCGGAAGAAGGTTGTTTTCTAGAAAATCCCTAGTGCAGTTGTTGTGCGATGGGGATGAAGTGAGGTATTCCCCTTTGACCTTATTTGACTATCTCATTTAAATGGATTAGATGTTGGGATAAGTAATCAATCATGGTGGGCTTGTTTTAAGTTAAATGAATTAACATATGGTGATTATTGTGTTGGGCCATTTTAGCTTCATGCTACAATTCATTGATATCTTTGGTGATGTTATGATCTTTAATTTAGAGAAATAAATATATTTTGACTAAATGAATTAAGTTAGTCATATGGTTTATGGAATTGGCTTATGAGCGTATTTTATAAATAAAAGATGAACATAAGTGTATTAAGGGGTGTTATAGTGATATCTTAATTGTGTGTTAAGATTGTTTATATGGTTCTAGGAGTTCAAAGAACTGGATATCCATCTTAGTCACTTTAGTGGTCCTTATGTTGTGATTGCTACTTCAGGTGAGTCTTCTCACTATACTTGCCTGTGTGGTAGTGTATGCATGTTGACCAGTTGGGTCTATTTATAGATTTCTGTTATATGTGAACTGAGTTGCTGATAAATCCTAAACTGTTGTGAGTCTATGAGACTGTTGATAGTCCCCAACGTTGTTGATAACTTGTGAGTTGTGTTGTTAATCCACATGGCGTGTTGTTAGCACACTAGGACCACTGATAGTCCCTAGGGTTGTTGATAACCCATAGCTAATTATTATCTTGTGTTGTATGTGATATTTTGGGGAAATTCATTAAGCTTTATGCTTACAACTGTGGATTAAAAATTTTGTAGGTACTTATCGGATTGCGTAGACAAGACTGTACACACATATCAACAGATTATGATTTGAGTTTCCGCATTATCTTTTTATTAACTATGTTTTCAAATAATGGTTTATGAAAAAATGGTTGTAGCTTTATTAAAAATGGATGTTATTTTATTTTAAAAACGAAAAATTTAGCCTTGGTTGTTGGGATGTTATATTTTTTACTGCTTCATCATTTTTATTGGATTTGTTTTGTCATGGATGAAGACGAACACCCTTTTCCCATTAAATTTAGTGGTGTTTGTTTAGATGGATCAGTAAAATATGATCCGATCAAATGAATTCAAATTTATTTCAGTTTTCAAAACATAAATCCGAATAGTCCAAACAAAATTCATATCCGATTCGATTCGATCCAACCAAATTACTATTCTCAATTTGGTTTTCAAAAATCAAGACATTTTAAAAAATATAGAACTCAAATATTAATAAAATCTATAAAAGAAATTAACATAAATTATTTATTTGTGAATTAAAATTTATAAACAAATACTAAGAAAAATGTATTATAATTTACTATTTTATCGACAAAATTTTCATTGAGTAGAAATACACAATAATAATAATAATGGATTATATTGGATGCATTTATCTAATCTTTTAAAAATAATTTAGTAAATTTATAAATGATTAAAGATATATTAAAAATAAATAATATAAATAAATAAAGATCAATTTGTTATTATTTTTTACTATGTAGTTCTTGTTTTATAAACCAAAACCAATATGAAACTAAAAATAATAATTTAACTTTTCGAAAAACTAATGGAAATTTTTGAATATCCAATCCAACTGGATAACTTTGTTTATTCTAAACAGTGAACATCTTTAAATATATTCACTGCTTCCTCAATCTTCACAAACAAACACTAATTTCATTGATTGTAATCATAGTAAGATATTAACAGTAATTATAAACGCAATATTAGAACTTTTAAAGAACATCTATACAAACGCCGTATGGAAACATGTAAAAATATTGTTTTATTAGATGCTATATTGGATGATACATGTGATTAAATAACGTGTTACCCGGTTAATATCCACTTTGTTGGGTTAAATAAATACAAAATATAGTTTTTTGTCCATTAAATGTTCAATGATGAATGATTAACAAAGTAAATTTATGGTTATTATAGATTTTATGTCATTAACTTTGTATAAAATATTAATTAAAAATGTAAAAAAGGAATAATTATTCTTAAACATTTGATATGTTTTTTAGAATTAAACTTTTCAAATGAATTGTCTCATGTTTGAATCACAATGAATGACTTGTTGTCCAAAAGATTAATTTAATATTTTAATTATACTGTATTCAACATAAATATTAACAATATGTATACTATATATCAAAGAGAAAAGACTTTGATAAAATCCACTTTATTTTTTGTTGCATTTTTCTTTAACCTTAAGATTTTATTCTAAAGTTTTACTTTTTCCCTCGTCTTATATTAATACCTCGTCTTATATTAATAGTTTATGAAAATAAATACAATAAATAAGTAAAACTGTTATTTCATATAATAAAATTATTGATAATTACCGTTTTCTTAACATATGTGATTTTTGTCAGTAGATAATAATTTTGGGACGGATAAACCCTCAAAGTATTTTTGCATTTTCGGTCATATTTACTATATTATTATTATTATTATTTTATTATAATATATGTGAAGTAAATATGTTTCCCATGTTATAGGGACTGATATGACATATTACCATAGCATGAGGAGTGTAATTGAAATTAACTGGCAAAGAGCTTGAAGACACCGTACAACTGTTGGCATCTAAAAGACGCAGAGTGTACCAACCAACGGTGTTGATAAAACAGACCTTCGCATCTCCATCGTCACCTCTCTCCCTTGACCCTTCTTCTCCAGCGTCCGATCTTCTTCATCCACGCTTCTCGCGCCCAAATTTCCTCCAAAACTTTACGAATTTTTCTCTCTCCAACTGGTAAGTCCTCAATTTCTTCTAACCAATTTCAGACACTGTTTTTGCGTCACACATGGTGTTTGCTAGTTTTTTTACGGATTAATTTAAAGGAGGAGTTATTAGTCGAGGTTGTGGACTTGTGGTTGTGTTACATGAGATCGATGGATGATTATTTTGTTCTGGTTTTGGTGTGTAGGTAGGGTTTTGAATGGCGGAGGGCCCCACGAGTCCAGGCGGTGGAAGCCATGAGAGTGGGGATCTGAGTCCAAGGTCTTCGAATGTTCGGGAGCAAGACAGGTTCTTACCGATTGCGAATATCAGTCGCATTATGAAGAAAGGGCTCCCAGCTAATGGGAAAATCGCAAAGGATGCTAAGGAAACTGTCCAGGAGTGTGTTTCTGAGTTTATCAGCTTTATCACCAGCGAGTACGAACGTTTGAGCTTTGAACTAAACCTGCGTGTTAATCAGTTTGTATATACATGTATTGTTGATCTGATTTTATATAGATCTGTACGTTATTTGGAATCGGATACAGGGCAAGTGATAAGTGTCTAAGGGAAAAGAGGAAAACCATCAATGGTGATGATCTTCTATGGGCAATGGCAACTTTAGGGTTCGAAGATTACATTGATCCCCTCAAATCCTACTTGAACAGATACAGAGAGGTAATTAATTTTCAGAACATTACACTCTTACTAATCATAGCTTATTAATTTAATTACTGATGATTTCATGTTTGGATTTCTTTATGCTCGTGATCAAATTACTGGACAGATGGAGGTTAGTTGACATATTAATTAAAAATTGTATTTTAATTTTAATTAATAATAATAATTAATTAATGTTTGGTTTACGTGTAATTAATTTAAAGGGTGACACAAAGGGATCTGGAAAGGGCCACGAAGGGTCTTCAAGGAAAGACAATAATCTTAATGCACAGGTAATAATTATTAATTAATTACATGGAAACAAAAGAATCAGGTTTAGTCTAATTATGTATGAATTAAACTTGAATCTAATGTTAATTTCTATTTCTACAGTTTGGCATTCAAAATCCATACACACAAGGTCCTAACTATGGAAACTCACAGGTACTATTTAATTGGATTGGATTAGATTGTAAAATGTAAATATCTTTAGTCAAATCCAATAGGTAAATCTGGAAAAAGAATCTTTTTAAAGAGGAAACATTGTATTTTGTGCCTTTGTGGTACAACCAAAAGTAGAAAGTTATATTGATTTTTTTTATTTATGTGGGCATGCATTAACCTTCTCATCGGATTTTTTTTTTAATTGAGAAAACACAAAAGTAGCCGTTTCTTGTAAGATTTTTTTTTAGTTTTTTAAAATTTTAAATCATTTTTTATTTTGTAAAGTTTAAGTGCGATGTTTTGACCATTCCACGTGTCCCACTGTTAAGAAAAGAGATTGTTTTTTGCCTTTTTTTTTTTTTGTGGGATTTGTATATAATTATAATTTGACAAGATTCCTGAAACGTGACAGGCGCAAGGTCAACAACATATGATGGTACCCATGCAACGAACAGAGTAGGAAGATGCTATTTTTTTTTATCAGAGTTATGTTGTGGGGTTGTAATATTAATATTGTTTTTGATATCATGGATTCTTGTAGGAAATATTTATGTAGGCTTCAATTATTTATAAATGTTAAGATCAAAACTTTATTTGATATATCTCATTCACTCTTATTCTGATTCTTATTGAGATTTTCGTGTTGGCTGGTTGCTATATACTATTATGTTGTGCAACCTTATCAGCGGTGTACTAAATAAGTAATGTCTTTGAATTTGATTATGGATTTGCAAAAAAAAAAAAAAAAAAAAAAAAAAAAAAAAAAAACTGCGTATCCGACAAGCTAAAAAAAGACGTACTTTTCACCTTCTGGATTGTCGTAGAGGCGTAGAGCTATGGTGAAAAACGGGGAGAGGTATATATATATTTTTTAGACGAACTGTGGGCAACGCGCATGAGGCGTTATCTTACGTGACATACGCCCTTAACGGTGCCATGGCGGGGAACACCGTCCCAGGCTCGCATTAAGGCGCGTTATGGTGATAACGGGTATTTTCTTTTTTTTTTTCAACATAATTTTGACCGTTTGTTTTCAAACAGTAACATAAAAAAAAAATCAATTTTTATATATATACTATATCAAATCATATTTCTTTCATTTTTACCTACAAAATTCTCTACATGTTTCTTTCAATATTTCAAAACCAAAATATGGATCAATTTAATCTGGCTCATCCGTACAACGATGATAATGACGAAGATGATTTGTTCGTGAGTATGATGTACCAGTATTATACAGGCAGCCTAGTACAGTCAGATCCAGCTCCATTACCCACTCGACGTGCGACGTTAAATAGAGATCGCGAGGAAGGGCATAACCGACTAGTTAACGATTACTTTGCGGAAAATTGTGTCTACCAACCAAGCGATTTCAAAAGAAGATTCCGTTTGCGAAAAAATGTTTTTGAAAGGATCTCCACGCTATGGAAGCAAGGTATCGTTTGTTTCAACTTTTATAATTTATAAAATGTCACTTTTAAATAAATATAGATATAATTTTTACGCGTTTAATATTTATTTAGCTATCGTTTGTTTACTATATATTTAGGTATCGTTTGTTTCAATTTTTATAATGGATAAGTGTAACCAGGCTCTCATTTTTGTGAATCAACAACCCCAAAAACATCAGAAAATGGCATCCAAAAGATCTGGAGTAGCTCATACTCTTAAAGACAAAGATTTTGGGACAAGAAGCATATAAATCCATAACAAAATTGGAGCTAACATGAAAGAACCACCAAGATGGGAACATTATACCTTATAGAGAGAAATGTTTGCTTGAAAATATCATATCTACACATCTTGAAATTTCACACTTGGTTCTATAAACCATCTTCCTTCAACAAGCACACAAAACATTATAAGGCTTCAAAACTCAAAAAAGGTAGCTAGGTTTCAAGATGACTAAATAAGAGGGTGGAAGATGAGCACGCAAAGGCGCTCAAGGAGTTAGAACTTTTAAATAGGGTTCACAACCCCAAGAATTAGGGTTTGGATGCAATGCACATAGGCTCAGTGTAACTCAACCTATGCTTAGAGTAGGTCACTAATCCCTCGCATGACATCTTCCACCTACGCTTAGTGTAGGGGACTATCCTACTCACAATGTAGGGCATAAAAATTCAACAAAAGACCAATTTAACCTTAGATAACTATACTTGTGGATACGGGTGTTACAACTTTTCCCCACTTGAATCAGACTTCATCCTTGAAGTCTGCTGCTACAAATAACTTCGAGTAAATTTCTATCATCTCCTCATCGGGCCGCCATGTCCACTCCGAACCCTTCTGGTGCTGCCATTGCACCTTCACCAAGCCTACCACATTGTTATGCAGGGTCTTCATCAAGAATCGCAATTGACCTCTCTACTTAATTCAGACATTCATTAATATGAATGTCATTCAAGAGAACCAATGTGGAATCATCAGCCAAACACTCCTACAACTGAGAATATGGAAAATATTGTGGATCTAACTAAGCTTGTCAGGTAGATCCAAATGATATGCAACCTTGCCCACCTCGACAATAATCCTGAAGTGACCAATATATCGGGGAACCAACTTGCCCCGTTCCTGGAACCGGGTGACATCTTTCCACAGTGACATTCAGAAGCACATAATCTCCGACATGAGTACGCAACCAGGTGACATCTTTCCATGGTGTGAATGTCGTCAGTCAGAATAACTCTTTAGGCGGCTCTGTACGGTCTATAGCCGATCACGCACCTGCTTTATCAACTCTATGGTCTTGAGTACTACGTCAGTACTCCTTATAACGGGATGCACGACCTCACCCCCAACAAATCAGGGTCTAACATTTCCTCCCATAAAGTATCTCGAAAGGGAGTTCGATCAATACTTGCGTGATAAATTTTGTTGTACGAGAACTTTGCCAATGGAAGATAAGTATCTTAGCTCCCAGCGAAATCTAACACACATTCCTTAAGCACATCCTCGAGCATCTGAATAATCTGACCACTTTGTCCGTCAGTCTGTGGGTGGTATGTCGTGCTGAAAAGTAACTGATTACCCAACTCCTCATAAACTTCTTCCATAACCTGGAGGTGAAACCAACATCACGATCTGAAACCACTGAAACTAGAACCCCATGTCGAACAACCATCTCCCTGATATAGATATCATCCAACTTTTCGGCAGAAATGCTCTAAACAATAAGATAAAATGAGCACTCTTTTTCAACCTATTAACAATGACCTAGATAAAATCAATCTCATGTACCATCCTCGGCTACTTCGTAATAAACTCCATAATGATCTTTTCCCACTACCATATAGTAATGGGTAACGGTTACATCTTTCCATGGGGACTTTGGTGTTCGGCCTTGACTTTCCGGCAAGTAGAGAACCGCTCCACAAACCATGTTATATCCCTCTTCATGAAGGTCACCAATAGCTCAATCTCAATTCTCTATACATCTTTGTGTCCCTCGGATGGATCAAAAACTTCAACTTATGAGCTTCCTCTAATAACGTCTGCCTAACCCCACTAGCAACCGGGACCCCCACTCTCCCGTACTGGTTCAATAATCGACGACTATCCCTAACAAATAAGGGAATATGACCGCTGATTCTTTTTTCCTTTGAATCTCTCTCTTCAATCCCTCCACTTGTACCTTCCTAATAAGAACTAATAATGGTGAAACAATAACCATCCTCAAACATAGATATCTAATGGGTGAACTCACTGCCTTATGATTCATGGCATCTGCCAAAACATTGGCCTTCCCAAGATGGTATAAAATCTTGCAGTCATAATCTTTCACCACATCCAACCATCTATGTTGCCTCTGTGCCTCATGTTCATATTCGGATGATCCGTCAGATATCTCAAGCTTTTGTGGTCTGTGTAAATGTTAAAACGAACCCCGTATAACTAATGCCACCAAATCTTTAGAGAAAAAACCCTATCCCCCAGCTTCATATCGTGTATATGATAATTCGCCTCGTGAGGCCTTAATTGCCTTGAAGTGTAAGTAATCACGTGACCCCTCTGCATAAGCTCTGTACCTAATCCAAAAATCGATGCATCGCAATAAACCATAAAATCATACATACCCTTGAGAACGGTTAAAAATAGGGCCTCATACAACCTCTTCCACATAGCATCACCACAAACTCGTAATGACCATACTGAGTCTTGAAGGTCGTCTTTTGCACATCCTCATCTCTGACCCTCATCTGACGATAACCAATCTCAAATCAATATTAGAGAACCAAGACACACCCTGAATTCAGTCAAATAAATCATCGATCCTTGGAAGTGGATAACAGTTCTTCACCACCAACTTTTTCAACTCCCGGTAGTCAATGCACATCCTGTGTGAACCATCCTTCTTTTTCATAAACATGATCGATGCTCCCCATGGAGAACTGCTCAGTCTGATGAATGTCTTGTCTAACAGCTCCTATAGTTGTGTAGAAAACATCTGAATCTCTTAGAGGAGCTAAGTGATAGGTTGCCTTGGCTATGGGCACCGCGTCCATAATCAAATCAATTGGAAACTCAACCTGTCTCTTAAGAGGAACTCCTAATAAATCCTCGGGAAACACATCAGGGAACTCCGGAACAATGGGAATGTTGTCCACACTCTTCTTACCCTCCTCTCGTGTATCCACCACATAAATTAGGAATCCAAAGAACCCCTGCTGAATATACCTCCTAGCTTTCACAACTGAACAAACAGTCAGTCGACGCTAAACACCATTGCCATGAATAATCATTTCTCCCCCACTTAGGTTTCGAACTCTCACAAACTAGTGATCAAAATCAATCATGGCCCCATTAGGGCCTAACTAGTCTATTTCCACAATAACCTTTGACACTCACAGAGGAATCAGAACGAAATCAATCGAATATCTCTCACTGAACATATTCATAACACATCCCAAATGAACTATAGAAGCACTCAATGAATGATCAATGGCAATCTATACCTCCAATGGATAATCCAAAGTCCCTGGAGTGTTGCTAAACTTCTTGCTAAACACAAGAGACACAAAAGATCAGGTAGCACCTGAATCGAACAAAACATGAGCAGTCATACCGTTGACTAAAGACGTCTCTATACGTGATCAGTTAAAACATAAGTAATACATAAACAAGGAAAGAAGTAAAAGATATGGTAATGATACATATCGGTAACCACATATGGTATTGTTCCCGCCTCCTCGACTATCAACTGGAATGCCCTACTCTTCACCATTGGAGCTTCCCCCTTAACCTGGCGGCCATCAGTAATCCTCAAGGTAACTGGTGCGGGCATCGCTACTTGATATATGCCATTTTATGCATCTTTTATATTAGATTTTATTAGCATTTTGCATCATATTTTATGTTTTTTCATGTATTAGATGATTAAACATCACTAAAAGTGTCAATATGACACATTTACATTAAGTTTACACTTATTAGGACTCTGTGATGGATTCCCAACGAAATCTTTTGTGAGGGATTTTGTCGAATTTACACTAATTTTTGCATTTGACGGTAAAATTTAAGAGGTTGTCCGTAATATCCTGAGATGCCAAGTAGGCCCACCCATGTCTTAACTATAATAAAACTTTCCACAAAACTTATATATAAATGTTAATGTATCACACATCGGTAGATACAT